GATTTTCAAAACAAGGTAAAACCTTTGTCGATACCCTTGTGCTGAATTAAGCTTTCTCTCTCTAGATTTGTTGTCTGATATTCCGCGTTGCAAATCTGTAACCAATCCTTTATTTGGAGAGGTAAGAGAGAGAAAGAGATTAAGAGATTATATACACCTCTCTTCTTCTTTCTCCTTCCTTAGCTTTGATCCTTAATAGGTAAGCTCAAGAAACCATCTTATATTTCTTCCTTTTTTTTCTACCTACCTCAATCAAATCGCTAAATGTTTCAATTTTCCGATTGTTTCCAACCTCCGTGATAATAACCATTTATTACTCTGATTTTTTCATTACTTGTTTCTTATAAACAAAAAGTGGGTTTGATTCTCTGCATTTTTCTCTCTACAGAATCACCTTTTCATGATGTTATTGTTACGCATGCATAAAACCTGTTTGATCAAATGTCTAAATGGGTTTCTCTGATTTTTCTTTCGTCCATTGATTGATTGTTAGCCAAGGAACCTTTTTCTGATCTGTCGATGGCATTTGTTTGGATTCTACGGATTTCTTAGTGTTTCAGAGATCATTTTAACCTGTATTTATGTGTGTATGTGACAACAGAACCTTAAATCCAGACCATAACCATGGCGGATACGATGTATGCTCATATGGATCGACATAATAATAAGCTAGGTAAGGAGTAAACCAAGATTTCTGCAATGTAGGTAGGAGAGTCTTTTTAAGCAAAGTTTCTGAAAGTTTTTGTTTTTGTAGATTATGATTGCTCAGAGGATGACAAGAAGACAAAGCTTTGTTCCCTGAAGAAGAAAGCAATCAATGCCTCACACAAATTCAAACACTCTTTCACCAAGAGAACTCGAAGGAACAGCCGTGTCATGTCTGTCTCAATCGTTGACGAGATTGATCTTGAAGAGCTTCAAGCTGTTGACGCTTTCCGTCAAGCTCTCATCTTAGACGAGCTTCTTCCTTCCAAACACGATGATCATCACATGATGCTGAGGTTTTTGAGGGCAAGGAAGTTTGATATCGAGAAAGCAAAGCAAATGTGGACTGATATGATCAACTGGAGGAAAGAGTTTGGTGTTGACACAATCATGGAGGTGAAAATATCATCTTCTTTGTCTCTCCCTTTTGCTTCTCTCCTTAATTAAAGTATTAAAGTCTTGTCTCTTTCTTCTTCTTTCAAAGGATTTTGATTTCAAGGAAATCGACGAAGTCCTCAACTACTATCCTCAAGGTTACCATGGCGTTGACAAAGAAGGAAGGCCTGTTTACATAGAGAGGCTAGGCCAAGTGGATGCCACAAAGCTGATGCAAGTCACTACGATCGATAGGTATGTCAAGTACCATGTGAGGGAGTTTGAGAAGACTTTCAATATCAAATTACCAGCTTGTTCCATTGCTGCCAAGAAGCATATTGATCAGAGCACCACCATCTTGGATGTGCAAGGCGTCGTATG